AATATTCCCCATAAATAATCCCTGATAGTAAAGCCCTATATCAATACTCATTGATAACTGGTTGGTGGTTTAGAACATTTTTTATTTTCCCATATATTGGGAATTGTCATCCCACCTGACTTTCATATTTTTCAGCGGGGTTGAAACCACCAACCAGATAATCATTCACAGCATTTCTCGTTTACCCCGCCATCATTTTCCCAGGCCTTGCCTGACCGCGCCGCCCGTATTCTGGGCGATGCCGTCTATGGCAGAGACAAGGTGACTGGGAGATCGATGGAGGTTTAGTCAGGGCTTGGTAAATGTCCTAATTTTTTACATCACCAATCTAAATTATTATTGGGGATAATAATCTAAAAACATATACTTGTTTTGGTGATGTTCAAAATTCACCAAAATGGGATATTTACCAACCCACTGTGCTAGTGATGTTAAATGGGGACTTAACTCGCAAACATTGGGACTTGACTACCCAAGATGTGGAGTGAACTAACAAACATGTGGGATTTTAGTAAGAAATGTTAACTAACAAACATGATGTTTCAACTGGGCATTGAGCATGATTTGACATGATTACATTGGGATTGAAGTAACAAACATGTGAATAATTAATGATGTCACCATCCAAATTTACAGTTTGACCCTGAGAGTCATCCGTTTTAATGATTCAACCACCAATAATTGTGATTCGGGGAGTTTAGTTATGTTAAACACAATTGTGATTAACCATCAATCATGGGGATTTCATTTAACCAACAACATGTGATTTCAATGATCTAACAAACATTAACTTTAACCAACCGAAATTGTGGTAGAATGGGCTGTAATAGGAGTACAATGGAATATCATGTTGAATAATGTTGATGAATCTGAGTATTTTGCCATTGCCCCAAACTAAGGGTCTGACCCTGAGAAACACCAAACGTCTACCTCCCATGACATACGACGGTCTCAGTAGGCGGCATGACCCTTAGTTGGATATTGCTAGGAGGATGAGGTAAAATGGATACAAGATGATACAAGATTGTGTCCCCCTAGTTGTGTTTCTTGGTTTATCTTCAACCCCAGTTGGGTTTTCATATCTACCGACCCTTGGTGAAGTATGACTCACTGAAGCGACTTGGCCATGCCATCCAGGCTGTGGAAAATGATATCTGACACGGTGGCTTCCCCTAATTTTCGTCGGGCTTAACAAACCCCCATTATAGTTATCTTTATGATAGTCTAATGATACATGTTGTAACATGTAGTAATCTGGTTGGTGGTTTGGAACCATGGAATTTTATGACTTTCCATTCAGTTGGGAATTTCATCATCCCAACTGACGAACTCCATCATTTTTCAGAGGGGTGGCTCAAAACCACCAACCAGTAACATGTTGTAACCACCATTAAAACCCTAGTTAATCAAGTTATATAAGAATTCGCCCAGTATAACTTGACCAGGAGACGCAGGAAGAGTTCGGGGCGATGCGGTCCGGGTCCTCGGGGGTTCCCTAGGGGTTTTCACATAGCCTACCCCATATGCGAACCATGGTGCTGGAATATTTACCAACATTTGCCCCAACAAAATCACCCCTCCATGATCCCACATGTAGGTAAATATACCAGCACCATGGTTCGCATATGAGTACGGTTATTTTTCACGGTTTGCTATGGAAAATCATGCAGCCACTAATCAGGAGCTAACATCATATTGGTGTATCATGTGTTAGGAGCTAACCACGAACAAGGCGGGGGATGAGAAAAGTATGAATTATATGAAGCAACCAAAAATAGGAGGTGTTATATGTAGGTCAAGTCAAAGACTTGAAGCTGGAGGAAAAAATGCACTCTCCTTGTTGTGTACTGTCCTCACTTTTGAGAGGTTTTTTCAACACCTCGGTCCCCTGATATCCCCTGTCCGACTTCGCCATCGGCCAGTTCCAGGGAGACAACTCAGCAACACTCCCTGCTCCAAAAGACATCAAGGGTTCCTCACCCAACGAGTCCCATGGCGAAAAATGATTTATTGCTTAGGAAAACACATACTTACTTAGCTTATTTGCTGCAGTTCATATGATATTAATTTTAAATTTTGATATGGTACTGTATATAATTGTATATTATATATACCCATATGCGAACCATGGTGCTGGAATATTTACCAACATTTGCCCGAACAAAATCACCCAATCATGTAGGTAAATATACCATACATGGAGCATATGGGTATATATATTATAATTATACATCTCTGTAGCAGTGTAAATGCAAACAAACCACTGTTGTCTCCCCAGCCCACCGGTGAGGTTGGAACTGGCCGGAGCATGTTGGAACATCCCGGAACTCGCCCAAGGCGCCGGCCTGGTCAAAATGGGGGCCTGGCCCATAGAAAATCGATGAATTCACGATGAAAAAATGCTGATGACCCAATAGAAATGGTGATTTGCCATGGAAAAAATGAATTTTGGAACCGGAACAACTTTAAAGTACCTTAAATAAATCCATTTCGTTCGGAGGATTTTCTGACACCATTGGTCAGATGTGTAGAGGATGTGTTTGAGCAAGCCATGTTTGAGGAATTGCCAGAGGGTAGGAAAACAGCCATTGCATGCAGGGAAAAACTACCAGAAACAACCAGACGCTTCTTTTTTTTAGTGCAACCCCCCAATTCGCAGATCATTTTCTTTGAATACAATAAACTTGAGGATATCCGAACTTGTTGTGACCCCAATGTTCATGTACTGCATTCAATTTTGGAACTACCCTCAAAACATACAGAGAACTGTACATGATTTTAGATTCGCAATTTCCCTGGCAATTCCTTATATCCCAATAAATCCCATTAGAGCCCATTAAACTCCATTAAGTCTCATTAGATCCCATTAAATTCCAATAAATCCCATTAGATCCCATTAAATTCCATTAAATCCCAAGAAATCCCATTAAGTCACCATTAAATTCCATTAAATCCCAGCCGTAAACCCCAGCCATCCTCATGGGTTGATGCCAGGCTCTTCGAGCCTGCTGTCCACCTTCAAAGATCTGCTGCTCTACGAGAGCGAACAGGACGGGGTGACAGCGGGGCCCAGGTGTGGAATGTTGTGGACTAATGAAGGGTTAGTTATAACTCATTAGGGATATACTCTAGTAGATATATGATCTTATAAACATATATGATATACATGTATATATATACCCTTGGTGTCGTCGACCATGGAAACAAAGGGGGTTAGCACCTCGACCTTTCTTTGGTATCGAACCACCTTTTTTTCCATCTCCTGGTTGCAGCTAGGGTTCGCTCATCGTCCGGCGAGTGTCAGCTGCAGGATTTGCATCAAGAAACATGTCTGGATGAATATACATATCTTTTATGAATGACATTAAAGTTTGCACAATGCTAGTCCACAAAGTTTGCAAAGCATGTGGAAATTCGAAATATGTGGAGTAATGCTTCAGCAATATAGTTATCGACCATATACTTTTGGGGGCTTAGTAAGCAGCACTGATGGGTCTGGGATCGGTGCGGGTCATCCCTGTGCTGCTTTTTGCATGTTGGGTGGCCTACAACCTGGTCATGAAGTCTATGCTGAAACGGCGCCAGAAACTCAGTCCATCTTTGAAGGCCCCCCATATGAACATCAAATGAACATAAAATTGGATTTACGTCAACCATAGTACTTGTGAATGCCAGTACGATCGAGACGAGATACTGTAGATATCTGTATTATAACTTCTTGCTATCCTTGCCTCCATTTGCCTCCCCAATCCAGATTGGTTGGGGTTGTGAGCTGAGGTCACTGGGAAGAGGTTATGGGTGACGATGTGATAGACACTGATGTTCTTGGTGCCATCCCTTACCCGCCCTGCATGCGCAATGTTTCTTGTGAACATGCGGACTTTGAATTAATTTGCAGAGATGTACACGTGATGGATACTCCATTGGCTCAAAGGTATGCAGGTACTTGCCCATGATACTCATCAGCATGCATGACATCGATAGACCGTCCAAGAATATCAATCATAATCCAGGTTGGGGGATCTTTCTTTCCACCATCATGGCAGACACTCGCAGTCCTAAGCAGCCTGATCCCAAGCGAGTGGCTTTGATCAAGGAGAGAATTTTTGGGATTGATATCATTTTCATTCGAACATCTGACATGCTTCAAATGATGCTTTATTTATCCTTTTGTGCACACCGCAGTTTGCCCCTAACTACCCGATCTAAGAGTTCAATTGGTCGAAGCTAGGCCCCTCTGGTAGATTCCATAAATGTTGCAAGAGCTATCTGGCCTCCGGATTTCATACCGTGAGGAGTTACTGAAAGACTTCTGCGAGGATGAGGCGTTTATGACCGAAAGGCGTCGTCTCTTGCGGCTACGTGCCGGCTTGAAAGACCAGGATAAACACAAGGTGGGGAGCCAAGAGTTCTTGAATGGGGTTTATCTGAAAGATCTCGTGGTTGTAGGGGCCCAGAAAAATGTGAAATATCCATTACGCTTTCCCCAGATTTCGTTTGGAAACAATGTGCCATTCTTCCATGAATCCAAACAACACAAGTTTTCCATAATCATATCGTATATATGACGACTTATGTGATTGCAATTAATATAGATTCTAGTTGCAACCAGTTGCAAAACAATACTGCCAAAGGACCAGTTGAGAGCTGCCTACAACATAAGTACTAACATTTTTTCTCAACTACACAGGTGCCAAAGTTCAAGTTCGTGGTCTTGGAGAGTAAAGACATGGGCGAGCGAGAGGTGCTGTTCTTGGGGACCGAACGGATCAACATAAAATTTCCAAGTACTTTGGTTTTACTCGTGCAATATAGTTGTGTCAATTATATGTTCTCCAGCAGCTTCATAAATCATCACTTCCTTTGCCATTTGTAATTATTGGGAATGACGTGTAGCGCTATATTGCATTTCCCCAACAAATTATTTGTTCGTTCTCAATATCATTTTTTTCCAGTTTATTGTTTCTGGACTGGAGGCAGAGAGCGATCACAACTTTGCAATGGCTGTTGCGCTGTGCGCATCGTTTGCTGAATGCCCTCCCACTCGGAAAGAATTTCAGGCAAGGAGTCACAAAGTCATTTTTTTCTCCAATGTAAAGAATTGATGAGGCACCAACAAAATCATGCATCGCATACAGAATTGAAAATGGAGTTTTGTCTTTGCTCAACACACTTGATTTGTACATTTTTGCTGCACCAACTGGAGCCCATTGGCAGACTGCTCTGTCATGGGCTTCGCTGCACTACCGCTTGAACCCCTGGAAGGATCGCAACGAGCACGAGGCACGTAATGGTTGATTGGTGGACTGAACTGGTGTTTTGGCGCTAGGGTTCAAGTCTTGAAACAGCCATGATTTTCTTGAGGAGATAAGCTAATGAAACCAGGTCCAGATCTTGAACAAACATAGTAAGATAGATGTCAAACCACAAGTTCAAAATCAAGCAAGTCCAGTGATTCTTTCATCAAAGAGATAAAAATATATATATATATATATATATCACAATGTGCAAACCATTTAATACAAGTTTGGCAAACTCTTTGTCAGGTATGGGGTGAGATCGAGAGCGGAGTCATCAAGTCCCTCTTGAGCTATTGCCTGGATCGATTTCAGAGAAATCGTGGTGTGAGGCCAGGATTACATGTTCTCCAAATGTGGGGGCTAACCAGGATAAACATGTATTAGATTGATGGGAAATCTGGGACCTTATATTGCTGTATAGATGGTACCACTGTCTTTAGCAAAAAACACAAACATATCTTTTGGTTCCTTTTCAAAAACAATGCCAACAACTTGAACATTATTGAACTGTTCATTCTGAAAGCCCATCCTCTCAGAGAATAGTAGATGTCAGAATCACCAATCAGGGTTTCTCTCAGGGTTCCACTGTCTGTCCGCCAATCAGGAAGGGTCATGAACGTGCTGAGCAGCTGAAGAACATCATCTACGGCCGCTTGAAGGCACCACTTCCAGGGATATGAATTATTGCCATGATCTGTTTATTTAGTTTATGGTCTGGGGGTTTATTTAGCTTATGGTCTGGGTGCTGGATGGTAATGCACTGCACACACATGTGCATGCAGGATCATGCATGTACTATCTTTGAAACTCTTTGATGAGCTTGTTTGTAAAAGACCACAAAACAAATCAAAAGAATGTGCGTGGGTGATGCAAATTGGTACACATGACACTTCAGAATGGTCCTAATTGTTCGTAGAACCTTTCACCTTTGTAACATGCATTTTAAATTTTATGTCCTAAACTTGCGCATCGTCCTCTGACAGGAGTTTGATATGCTGACCCCGGATGGCAAGAAGACTCCTACGCGAGGACGAGGGATGAGCAAGCCTAAGGTCGGGGTACCCAAGAGTCATCCTTACTGTCACACATCGATGACATATATGTGTGTAATTGGTCAAATTTTGAAATGAGAACATGGGTTGCACATGTACAATCTGGTTGTCATATTAGCTGCACGCATTCACGTGTTTTTTTCACAATCGCAAGTTCCAAAACAAAAAGTCATTTGGAGCTGAGCTGTGTGCTGGACGGAGCAGATTGCAACTGTATTGCTTCATAGTTTCTATTGCCTGGATATTTTAGTCCCCGCATGATGAATATTAATGAATTATATATTTAATATATATCTTAATTATTATATAGCTGACACCTTTTACTTACACTGAGGTATCTGAAGAGAAATCAGCCGCAAAGAATCCCGACACGATGGATACCTTACCAATGACTGAGACCCCGTTAGCATCCCCAATCCAGCCAATGCGAAGATTGGATTCCGTGTCGCCTACACCTGCTTTGGGGGAAGCCGATACTGAAGAGGATAGTCCTATGGAGGAGGGTGCCGAAGAGGAAGCTTTGGAAGATGATATGTGTGTGGAAACGGTTGACCACGAGAGTGACGTAGTTGAAATAGCCACTGATGATGATGAAAATGGTTCAAGACCGACAGATGACCAGATCATTGAAAGTCAGTGGAGGCTAGTCGAACAAGAAGCTCAAGTGGCTAGCATGTACAAGACAGAAACACAGAACAGTGCAGACTCAAGTGATTTGCAACCCCCTGCCAAGAAGCAGAAAAAAGAATCGGTTCATGAAGGGTCGGGAATGATGGATGAAAGTCAAACATTTGCAGAACGGGATGACTACCAAAACCTTCAAAAGGGCTTAAACAGTGACGAAGAAGGTGTTGCTGAGAAGAATGCCTTTAAGGTGCGCCTGCTGGTGGTTTGTATTTCAAGGTTCCAAGTTTGGGTCAAAAAATGTATTGCCCAATATGTGATAATACTCTTCAAGCTTCATTGACAACAAGTATGGGTGCCTGCTTGACTAAACTATGTGTTTTAGTGACTGTTTCTTTGGCGCATTATTTTCGAGAATCATGTATTCTATTTCGCTCCCACTCTTTGCTTTGATGTTGATCAGATTAGGTTGCAACTAGTGCAGAATATCGTCAACACCAATTGCGTGTGTATGTGATAGGGTTTTGTTTGAACCATCAGGAATTCAAAAACAACAGCTGCAGCATGCAGGATCGCAAACCTTTGGTGGAGAAGTTGCCAGACATCCCACAAGATTTGAAGGACCGAATGTCAGAAGTGATCCCAAAGGACCCGCAAGAAGAGGAAACTGCCCAGGAAATCAGAAAGGCGGGATTCATGTTCACATTGTACATGCATCCCTGAAGGTTTGAAGATAAGATATACTGTTACCATAGTTCGATTTGTTTGCAACTAGCTTTGTGGCATTTCCGGAAAGAAAACTGAAAAACAAGGTCAACCCGAAGGATATTTGAAGTGTAGTATCCAACCACAGTGCAACATGAATGTATCAACTTCATACTCGAGAAAAGTAAGCCATGAACTTAACCAAATTCTCTACCCAAAAAAAACAACAGTACAATGTTACAAATCATCTTGTCAGGCTCAGCTGGCACTGCGGCAAATGGCCAAGGAAGCTGCAGCCGAGTTGGAGGACCCGGACCGTGCCTATGCTGAAGAAACAGAAGATGCAGAAGGTGGCGGGGGAAAAAAAAAACAAAAGGGAGAGGCCGAGGCCGGGGCAAAGGCCGGGGAAAAGGTGGAAAAGGTAGAGGCAATGGTAAGAAGCCAAACGCAAAGGATGAGGAATCTGAACAGAAACCCGAGGAGAAGGATAACAATGTGAGAAGGGTGGAGGAAGACCAGAAGCATGAAGGCAGTGTGAAACAGGTGGAGGTACAAGCTGAGACATCAGAGGAGCATCAAGCAGAACACAGCGAGAAGACAGAAGAAGAGATTCCTTGCCCGAGAAGCACTCCGAGAGTTTTGCGTAGAACCAAGAGCAAACGTCGTATGTTGCTGAAGAAAGCAAATTCAATGAGTCCAAAGGGAAAAAAAAGTCACAAGAAAACGAGACAAAGAAGAAGGCTGAACCCCCTGAGAAGGAAGCTGAAGAGTTGAATAATCCAAGAGAGAATCCAAAGCCAGCCAAAAAGAAAGTTTCAAAGAAGCAACGCAGCTCTACTGACATCCCCAAAGAAGCAGAAGCGAATGCAGCACCAAACAAAGAAGAGGCCGAAGCAGAACCCGCAAAGGCCGAGCAAGATGGTCATGATTTGACACCAGAAGAAGAGGCTGAGAAGAGAGATGAGGAGAGGAAAAGGGCTGAGCTTGCAAAGAAAAAGGCCGTACTGGAGGCACATTCATTCATATATCAAAGAACTATTGTTCAAAGTGACCAGGATCATAAAGCATATACATGTGTGAGAAGCGTGCAATCATACGGCAGTGTAGGAGTGCTGAATAATGTGTTTCTATCATTCTTGTTCAATCCAATTACCACATATCTAGAGTGTCCCCGCATTTTCGCATGTCCAACCCATGTTTGATATGGGTGCTATCGCTACCCGCATACACGTTACAGGTATGTTTTATTCCTTCCGTAAACAATGCACATTTCGAAAAAAGAAATTTGACGGGGCGAATGGCTTGGTTGTTTCAGGCACGAGATGCCAACTACTCCCTGCTGGCAGAAGTGGCAGATGATAAGTTGTGCCTGCCCTCATTGGAACAACTTGGTGCCGCAAAGCAGCTGCCTCAGAGAACTTTTGTCGTGCTGTGTTAGCACAACATAGGCACCCTCGAGGATCTCGCATATGATCTGTGCATCAAGCCAACTTGCATGTACCGGGCTGGTATGTAATGTATAATGCGTTAGTGCATGTTTTTATTTTTGCTTGCGGGCACACCCGGTGAGTGAGCTTGACTGCTTAGAAAAATCATGAGTATTCAATGGTTACATGGCCTAGGATGAGTGTGCTCAAAAACTTGTATCAATCTAGAATACCAGCCCTTGGCATTCGGCTGAGGTCTTGCACCCTCGAGCCGCCTGCAACCCTGCCAGAACATCCCAAGGGATACAAGCGATCCAAGATCCAAATCTTGTTTGACCCTCAGATCTAAATCAATCATGGGGAAAGTTTTGACAGGTTTTGCAATAAACTATATGTCAATGAAACTTCTTTCCAGCCTCTTGGAATCAAGAATGTAGGCCCTGCTCATTTCGAAGTTGAATATTATAATATCATTTTTGGTTTACAAAAAGAAGATAATATTTCATTTAGCATCATATATGATTTCATTTGTTGATCGGATCTGCTGAGGTTTGTGGTCTCAAGGTCCACTTCGGCCTCCTTCTACGTTTCTCAAGTGCCAGAGGACACACTGGATCTTTTGAAGCTGGAAAAGGGAATGAATTTTGAGGCTCAGTTGTTGCTGAATTGTTTGTTGCTGGGGATCCAAAAAGGTGCAACTGATTGATATTACAAGCGATTCACCCAAAATCATGTCTGACAGGATGGGTCAAATCAAAATATTTATGAATGGATCATAATTAATAGCCATGCTGTTGAATTGCAACATACATGGTATCTGTGATTCAAATTGTGAAGATTTGTCACCAGCACCAGCAGGCAAACAAGCAGCGAGGTGTCAGCTTGGGTTGGACAAAGCACGGCGGTGTGACTGAAGCGTCCAGAACTTAGTATTTGGATGTATTTGCGGATTCAATCTCAAAATTGTATATAATATTTTTATAAATATAATAAAGCATATATTGTATATTAGATATATGTTATATATACGGTATGTTAAAGCAGTTCAAGACCAACATTGTCATTGTCATAAAAAAAAATCAGTAATGTTCTCAACTCCAAATTGTTTGATGTTGCATGGAACAGTTCATGGACGCAGCACTGCACTGTGCTGGGAAGGTGCTCGTGATTTTAATTTTTAGAATATCATTCCATACAGTCACAACATAATTGGTTGCAAATAAATGAGCTGGATAATATGGAATTCCTCACTGATTTGAAATCAAAATCACAAGCACCACAAGCTGCGTAACTAGCGTCGTGAATGTGATCACTCTGGTGTAGTTTGTTTTTGATTGACATGATCCCATTAACCACATCGCGCATTAATTGCGTAAGATTCAGATTTAGTGATGCAAATGATTTGAGATTTTACATCAAACGTCACAACAGTTGGCAACTTCTGATTTGACCAAGGTGGAAGCTAGCAAAGTTGGTGGCTGGATGGGAAATCCCATGCACATGCTCCAGCTGAGTGGAGTGATCAAATCACTTGGCGATAGGCTGCCTGCGGTGCCGGTAAGGCAAGTATAGCTTGGAAACCATGCTTTTGATCCATCCCCTTAGAGTCTCGAAAGGCCATCAAAAAATGTATGTACTCACATCAAATTACTGTTATCTTTCCTTCCACCAAGTTGATATCAGTTTGTAGCACCAACATATATAATAATGATATTGTGTTTGTTAGCTGGGGCCTCATGGACAATGGGGTTTTTGGACACCAGTGGGAATGGAATGTCCATTTGCAAAGTGGACGACAAGTTGGTCAACAGTCATTTCATTTATATAACTACCCAACATTCAAAAGAGAACATTCCCGCTCAATACGCTGGGGTATTTCGCAAGTCATGCGCCAAAAGCGCTGCTTGAGTGGGGCAACACAATCTGTGTGAAAAAAAACTGTAGCCACTGAACTCAGTGTGGCACTGGGTACCTGGGTAACCACTGTACTATATTCAAAAAAAAAATAGATGTTTCTGGTGATGCCATTTGTGAGCGATATACTGTAAATATGAAATCCAGCTGGCTGTCCAACATCTCGCCTGTGCTTTGCAGGAAGGGGAAGGCTCAGATTAGCATCAGCACCTAGGTGCGGGGCGGGGTAGTTCAAGCCATGCCGTCGAATCCTTCATGGAAACAGTCTCCAATGGCATTGACAAAGCGCACGGCAAATCTCCTCATGAAGTGGGGTTTGCCAATCTTGTTGTTTCTTGGTTGAACATTCACCGAACCAAACTTGAATGTTCATACTACTACTATGGAATGGGTCGCCCTTATTTTGATTGGGCCATTGAGGTTGCACCTGGTTGATTTCGTGGTGCAGACCACACCAGCAGCGGAGTCGGCACGTGTCATCAGCTTAGTGCTTAAATCCAATTTGGACAATTGCTGTGATCTACAGTATATCCTGCATGGCAGATGTCAAACTCTCTGAATATTTCATTCATGTACCATTATCACACAAGTACGGATGCTATGTTTGATTATTTTTGTAATTAATATGGGCTTTGGAATGTCATGTTAGCCAAGGACATCCAATTGATAGATGCATTTGCGGGATGCGCATCTGTGAGCTCGTATTATCGTGGGGGCCCGAGAATTTGACCTGCTAGTGAAGCGCTTAACGTGCTGTGGTAAAACGTCAAAGATAAGACTTTCCATTCCATGTCCTCAGCTTCATGCTATCCTTTTTGCTTTACCAATGCCGTGCTGAAAATAAACTAACAGATTCACCAATATGTTGTTGGTAAAGCAAGTTAAATATGCCATACATTCACCTCCGTTCATCGAGGCGAACAGGGATGGAAAGCGTGCAGAACTCAGTCATTCTTTTCATGTGACTATATCAAGTATATATCACTGATATATGCAGAATGCATTCGTGTGCATAAATGGCAGAGACGGCCAATGTAGCTACATCACTGCTCCTTCAGATCTGAAGATGAAACACCTGCTAAACACTATTAGTACTGTATAACTACGTTATTATACTATAATTATATTAAATATATCTGTCAATTTCAAATGTGTCTAATATAATGCAATGGGGAGCTCCATATACACAAACGCTGTTCAATTGTCGACCCAGCATGTTGCAGAGTGCGTTTTTCCGGTTGCCGCTGTTGGCAGCACTGAGGGAAAGTTTCGATCTGTTGGATGGCCCTTCTGGTGACATTCTGGACCCGCCATAGCCTTAAAGATCAAATGTATTTCCTTGTGATCCTGGCTGCTTAAAGCCAGTACAGCAGTTTGGGGGCTATAATACGTGTTATAAAATCCGTTAGAACCTATTGAGCTGTTTGGTGCTGGCACATTCCACCGGTGAAAATCACGAGCTTGTAATGCAGTACTGTGGACACAATGATGGCAAGCTAATATGGTGAAAATGATATCCGATCCAAATGATGATGATAATTCTGATTGTGGTATTGGCAGCAAAAACAAAATCATTGTGACTGTGCTTTTGTCTGCATGACAATCAGGGCGATTGTGGCTGTGATCCTGATGATGATCATGAGCAATTTAAATTATTATGTTATAATATTCATCGTATTAGAAATGATTGAGAACTATATGCACGCTACTGCATCTGCATATCCTCTTGTTCTTTAGCCCCGCTCACTGAGACTTGGACTTTGCGAGATCATGAGGAAGGTCTTGAAGTTGGCCCCTCTGGGTTTACTCCTGGGGGGGCCACCCTGCGGCTCATGGGTGTTCATTAATAGAGCGACCAGTCTACGAAGTATCCACCGATATTTTGGCGACTGTCGAAAAGATTATGTGCGCTGTGCCAACACGAACCTTTAGGGTGATTTCAGTGGCATTGTTTTCTCTTTTGTAGGAGTCGTGTGTGAACATATTTGTTGTTTGGAACAGCAATTGAATTCATACCATTGATGATTATAAAAAAAAGGTAGTGTGGATGGTTTCATTATATCACATGAATTCAATTGCCTATGATATGCCTGTGCCTCACCCCCAAAACTGTCAGGGTGTCCTTGCCAAGGATCACAACAAGGTGGGTCATGCTAGGCCTGCTAGCGGCAGCACGGGCTGTGATGTGGTTGACTGAGCAACCACGGTCCAGCCTAATGGAAGGTTGTCCATACTTTCGTTATGCTGCATTGGCTTTGCGGCCTATTTGCTGGGACTCTGTGTCATTGTACCTTGCAAACATTCAAAAAATCAAATGCAATTGTCAAATTGTTGGACAGATTTTGTGTGTGTGACAGACATGCTCTTACAGTGGTAATTGCCCTAACGTTGCCTTTCTGATCTAAGTCCCATGGGTGCCTACGGGCACGACAGCCAAAAACCTTCGCTTCTCTTTGGATCTGGGTCCCATGGCTTTGACAAGATACAATTACGAGCTGTACTCTCTTGACACAGTGTGCGTGTGTGTGTATGTCATATTGTTTGCCTTGAATTTGGATCTCAAATATGAACACCAGAAATTGTCCATCAGCTTTACCAGGTTTTACTATGCTTTACATCCTGTTCTTCTGGGCCATGGGTTTAGGGTCTCCGTTGCCAACTCTAGGCCATGGCTTCAGAACTTGAAGAAGAAATTGTCAAACGCAGACAAGCAACGGATCGAGAAAGTGAAGAAGGACCCGAAGCGAGCCATGGTCATTAAGCGGATTACAAAGAAAGGCAATGTGTCTGTGTATTCTAGCAGCACTAGCTCATCTTCGAGTGTGGGTGTGCACACGTTCAATTCACATGTTTTAGTCGTGATGTGGAAACCACGCATTGTGTTCCAGCAGTTCTGCTTAAATCAGAGTGTGTGGGAAAATTCACATGTGTCCGATCTTGTTACACACAATACTATTTTGTAGCTGTTTGTTTGGCCTGCTACTTTTTAGCTAGTATGATACATATAATATATCCTTTGGGAGCCACTGTTTAACCTCACCAGGGATCACTCGGGTCCCAACTCCTGGCCTATGAGGCAAGGTGGTCCGGGTATGAGCAAGTCGGCGGCCTATCCTAGAAAATTTGCCAAGAAGATCTTCCAAGAACATTCTGCTTTCAGACGTGAATCTTGGATTTTCATTCAGTGAGATGAGAATGCTGTTGGAGCCATCCACATCTTTGTACTATTCATTACTCGCACATATGCTTTAAACAACATTCTTACAACTTCTTACATATTCTTATTGACTTGCTGATGCCAATGGTATATGAAATCATGAAAGTTTCAGAAAACAATACGTCGAGATTTAAAATACCTAGTTTATATTACACAAATGCTAGCTTATATAATGCTTATATGATTTTTCGAGTGCTATCCGGCACTCCTGCCTGCCCTCAGGGTGTTGTGGCGCCCCAGCCAACGTGATGCCGAGGACAATGCTGATGCACTTGCCCTGCCGTCCGGGCCAGCTGTTGTGGAACCCCAGATCCAAATCAAGGCTGTCAGCAGCTTGGTTCAGTTGTCGTCTATCAAAGCAGTTCAGTTGGTACAGAAAGAACCACTTCCAAGGAAAATGCAAATAGTTATAGAAGCTTTGAAGTTAAGTAGTGGCATGGCCAACTTTCACTCATGCACCTGGAATTTGTGGATTTGAACCACCCCCGAATGAGTTTGGAAATTGATATTTGTTGGATGTCAATACATTGCTAGTATACTAGCTAGTGAGACACCATCATATATACACTATTATAATATTATAATTATATCAAAACCAAATTCCCATATCGCATATGTGATTTCTGCCCTTAGTCCATTCGGCCCTGGCCTTGTCAATTCCATTGGTGCCCCTTTTTCACCTGGCAGGCTCCATACCGTTGGAGACACGCTAGATTGGCTGAGATCAAGAAGTTCTTGCTGGACCGGGTGGCTGATGGGTCATATACTCCTATCCTCACTGTTGGACTGGGTGAGTTCGACTAAAAGGAACCGAACTCCTTTTGAACCCAGTTGGGGCTTCTACACGTGTGAACTCCACATGTGTGTATATTATATAGCGATGATGCCACTGGCACAGGGTGGGGTTCAATGAACGTACCATTAGACTGGATATGATGTGATGGAACCATATCATATTGAAACTGTGCAAAACATACCTTGCCCTGGCCAGAATGGTAAATGCACCAAATTGGATCTGAACAGTGACACAATATTTGTGGGGAAAATGGTAGCGTGAAACTACCGTGAAACTACCGTGAACTTTGCGTGAACGACCTTTCCTATCCGTTAAACCCCTTTCCCATCCGTTAACCACGACCCCCCCAAAAATCACCTTTTTGAGATGTGTTGAAAATCTTCGAGAATGAAAAAAATGATGGAATTGCGTTTGATCGTGTTGTCTGATGTGTTTTTGGTCTCAAGACTTGAGATCAAGGATTCTTAGCTTGGGGTACATCTGTGTGATGTCGACCTCTGTGGTGGAACAAGCGCTGGCCAGGGCCGCGCTGCGAGCGCAAAGGCTAGCTGAGCTAGACATGGCACACACAACATTGGAACGAGTTCTAAATTTCCCACAACCACCTGAGACACTCCCCTGGGGTGATGCCATGTCCAAGTCTTACTTGTTTCACACTCCATGTCCAATTGGGATTGAAAGATATACAAATTGCAATTCTGTGATATATGATATGTCCCCAAATATCCGCTTCCACTGCTATAGGTTGAATGATGCTACAACGACTTCGGGTACTATCACCAAAGGAAAGGCAAGCACAGGCTCTTCCACAGAGAGATCTACGACTGCTTCACCCCCATCAGGCGCACCTTCTGATGCTTCGAGTCCGGCGTCTTCAGGACCGCTCTGTGCCATCCTGTTCGGGTGCTTTGGTGTGGCGTGTAAATGGTTTTGGTTAGTTGTTCTGGCCTGAAAATGTTATATATGTTCTTCGCTGATACATGTAGGCTTTTTCATCGAATTTATCCATTATTTCCCTGATGATTCCCAACATGAACTCACAGTGAACCACAGTTATATAACATTCTGGCAGCATTGAATGAGTTCAGGGTCACCTCCGACTACACTGCCTGATGTGGTTACTCTGGGTGATTAGTTAGGCTTAGTTGTTGTATCAGGAGTGCCATGCACGATCAACATACCATATAGTCAGATCGATATTTATATATTATAATATAATATATAATAAATACAGTATATTATTATTATAAACTATATGATAAAATCTATAAAATATACGAAAAAATAATACATCGGCTATCCATGATGCACATAGTTCCCTATGTATTTATTAAAGAGCGGTTATGCACACACGGTTCCTGGGCGCTTGTTTTTTTAATGAATAGTTATTCCTCTAGAGGTCATGTGTTTTCATGTGTATTAACCAAACCCCAAATGTGCATATTATACAACAACTGGCCAGATCAGCATCTGGGCCTCTGCATACCAGGAAAAGCAAGTGTTGCGACAACAGTGGCAGCCACAGATGAAGCTGCCAGGACCAATGCTTTGGAAGGTTTAGCTATGTCAAAGCTTAGCCCTGTGACACCACCACACCTGATTCGGAGAAACAACACACCAACAATCTTGCACGGATCAGTGGGTGATCAGGCGATTTTACAGCCAGCAACTGGCAACAGCACCGGCAGCAAGAGCAAAGCTTCACGCCCACGACACCTCAAAAGAAATCAGCGTGCTAAGAAGAATCGCCTCTCAGCAGCAAAGTCAAAAGCAGCTAGACCAGACACGACAGATGCAGCAACTGCGCCCGTCCCTGTTTCCCATGCTGTCCCTGAAGTACCTGATGCCAGTGGCAGTGATGCAGCCAATGAAATCCAGCCACCTCCTGAAACCACCGCAGCCCCTCAGCAGAGTGGACCCCGTGACGGTTCCCCCGCTTCTGTCCGGACCCATGCATACACGGCAACTGCAGATGGCATGCCTGTTCCTGCTAGTGTTGGTCAGAACAAAGCTTCCCTGCCCCCCATGCTCCTTGTCAAGAAGGAACCCAAGGAACCAGTCACACTGCCTGGCCTCAAGACCACAACTCCCACCAGTCAAAGGCGAGCCACCCACGTTGCACATGCAAAAAATGAAAACATGCAGCGTGCCAACACACAGGATCTTGCGCAGCCTGCAGGGACCCCATCAGCGACACCTGCAAATGCAAATGCACCGCCCCCGAAGTGTTCAGCGCCACCTCCACGCCCAACAACCTGGCAGCCCCACCACAAAATTGTGTATACTGATGATGCTGAGAACAACATCAATCACCCATCAGAATACCCCCAAGACTTTTTGGATACCCTGGCTGATGCAGAAGACCAATCCCAGAACAACACCAATGGCACTGTTAGCACCGGTGGTGGCCCGCCAGATGAGCCAGGTGACAGACGGAAAAAGGTGAAAACAGCACACCAGAAAGCAATGCACGCCAGATACATGCGCTTCAGCCGAAGTCTCAAGAGCAACTTGTCAGCAATAAAAACAAACAGCAAATCCATAATAATATGTTTGCCCATGTGCACTTACATACATGCGTTCTGCTTGATCCGTGACATTCCTGTGCTAGCTATCATAATTAGCAAAAGTTTTATGCCTTTTGTTGGGCTCAGGCATGCAGCATGGTGGGAACTGTACTACTGGAAAGTCTTGCATAGCATTGTGTGTGCTGTATGTGTTATGTCCTATGTATATTACGGTTGGATATATGTCCTATGTGGAACACACACACACACGCGCTCCAAAACATTTTGGTTACCACACTCTGGATTGCAATAACTTACTTGTGACCTCATCAGGTGCCAAGACCCCAGTGGAAATCCGACGGGCTGGCAAGTCCGCAGCTTACTGTGACTTGGTGTGAAAGAGCATCCGCACATACACACATAAATGCGATACATACGTGTGAGATTACATGAGTGCTATCTATCTATATTTTTGGGCTGGTTGCCTTGGTGTGCAAATCACATACATACATGGCTTGCACATACTATGCACTTATGTTGCAAGTGAATCATTTGAACATCGCATCCTGTTTGCAGCTTCAACTTGATAAGTTTTTCAAAGTTTTTCTATAGCATTTTTGGCAGTAGAACAATTGAATTTGTTTCCTGGAATGTTCCTTTCAAATGAGGTCACGAGAAGCTGCAAATACTTCTCGAAGCATGGGAAGCATCGAAAGGAGAATGGTCAAGCTCACAGCTCTACAAGACCATCACGCAGCGGAAGACAACCACTTGCCATGGTGCCAGGGTGTGGTTAACCCGTACACAAATAGCCTCAAAGTACCAAGACCAAAGTATCGCAGACTGCATATGTGATGCAAAGCTGGCGGACAAAGAGTTGGCCGCCAGCCAGACCAAATGGCACCCAGACGGGGTGGGCATTGAGGCTAGGTGATATCGGTGATATGGGTTCGGGAAGTCTCGGCACTAGTCTAAAATCAATGCGACATGTGACATACAGTAAACCCAACAATATCAAAAGACATACCCTGGAAATACAACTTCCTGTGACATGTCATGCCATACTCCCAGACTGCTGTCAGGCGCTTCGCCTCTTTTTGGTTTGGGATTCCGAAGGGATCAGCGAAAAGGAAGACTCAATAATCGAAGATTTATTCTCAGCAGCAGACAAAGATGAGAGTGACTCTGAGTGCAGCCGCACCAAGCGCAAGAAGAGCAGCAAATCCAAAAAGAGCAAGAAGAGCAAGAAGCCCAGCAGTGAAAGCAGCCCCTCAAGTGATGAAGGAAGCGATGATGAAAGCAACGATTCCGGTGCGTCGGGTGAGGCAAGTTCAGAACTCATGTGCATACACTTATTCTGGGGTGTGACTTGTGCTCATACTCTGATTGAAGCACTGGCTGCATGTATAATGTATTTCGCACACTCTCTTTCTCCCTTTTTCCTTCTCTGACACATACTGTACCTGTCTTTCTGGTTTTGACATAGCCCCCAAATCAGGACAAGAAAAAGAAAAAGAAGAAGGGTGGCAAGGCAAAGAAGTCAAAGGGCAAGGGAAAGAAGGAGAAGAAAGAGACTGATGAGCAGAAGCAGAAGCGTCTCAGGAAAGAAAAGGAGAAAGCCGACAAGGAAGAAAAGACTCGAAAGGACAAAGCAGAGAATGAGCTCATTGCCAAAGCGAAAAAGGCTGGTCATTTTCTGTGTTGCAGGCCTGCCCCCCAAGATGGGTTATGCACGTGTGTGCGCATGTGTGTGCTATGTTGTTTCATTGTAGCTACTTGGGTCACCATATTAACATCATGCTACAGGGTTGGAAGCATATGTCTACAAGACCTGGTGAAATCTTGTCCAGAGCCCGGCTGCCATAGACATACAATGGGAGGTGATCGTGTCTTGTTTGGAACCCCTTGGGATTTGGCCAGGTCACAGAAAACCTTCAACAATACCCATCTTCTGTGGTACAGTACAGATCTTCAAAAAGACGATTGTGAATCCATGTTTTTCAACTCTATCATATCTTGATCCCTACTTATCAGATTAATAATTCTTTGCTAGACACCCGTGTAAAAAAAACATGACATTATGTCCCTATAAATTATTGATAACTGTCTGCGCATGGTGGCCTTCAATTACAGTGCAGAAACCCCAATTCGGCCAGGTGTTGAACTCTGCCAGTGACAAGATCACGAAGGCCTCGAAGAAGGTTGACGTGATCAATACGCTGATCGGGCCTCAGACATGTCAGAGAAGATGGCTCCATCCCTTGCCAGTGCTGGAGCTGGGGTATTTTTATTAGTTGATTAATAGTTATCCAAAAAAAATATCCATGCCAAATAGTATGGTATAGATATAATATATTGGCACTCGAACATCATGGACTATTGGTTCTCAAACCGTATGATTTTGTAAGCTTTTAATTGTGGGATGAGATATGAGGTTTGCTTTGACCAGGTACCCTCAAAAATCCATGCTACAAAAAAACATTATCACGAGGTTTCCTTACGATTCCATACCAGGATATTTCCTTTCAGTTCGTCCCATGGGAAATGATATTTTTGCGTGAGGGTTTAAGAGGAACCCACAGCCGGATTAGGGTTTTGATCACTATCCAAAACCAAAAGCCCTAATTCCTAATTAGGATTTAGGACAAGTGGTCTAGGCCTTGTAGGTACGAATACCAAATGAAATGATCGACAACCCAAATTAGGGTTTATGTTTTGGGGTGTTGCCCTAAAAGGTTTGAAGAAACATGGTCTACGGATGGTAGGTACGGATACTAAAGAGGTTTACATCCCGGTCCCAAATGATGGTTTAGGGCTTGGGTATATGTAGTTAATATACCCACAAACTAATTTACTTAATATCATAATTATTACCTTTGAAACATAGCATCTGGATGGATACATAATATGCCTACAAGTTGGTAATGCACTATCCTTTTGAAACCCACAGAATTGTGTTTTTGCTGTTTCAGCCAGGCTGCAAATGGCCCTCATAGTTTTTTTGGTTTCGTGAGGTTAGGCCGTCCCTAGCCATATTATGACCAATCATATAATATCATAATTGGAATCCCCCCAACATATTTTTCATTGCTAAGAGCCAGTTTAAAATATATACCCCACAAAGATACCATTTGGGACCTTTCCCAGGATCATGGGCACCCGCATCGTGTCATCTGAGGTGTCCTGGCATCCGTGGTGTGATTGAGAAGGACTTCGAGACTTGCTGGGAGAATTTGGTCAGCAAAAGGGACAAGCTACAGGCTGACATTGATCTCCGCAATGCCCCTCATCTTTGGTTTTTGTGTGGATTATACTTTACTACGTGGTATTTTTCATGTAATAATTCATTGTAAGGTTGTTGCCAAGAAGTATCAAACATACATCATTCATATATTATTTATTAATATTTATTACATAGGCCCTAACATAATTTGTCACTTATATTGTTTCATGGAACAAACCATCTAACGGCCTAGCTTTGAGGCTGAAAACATCACACGACGGATGGATGAGTGTGACAAAGCTGAGACGGAATACAAGGACTTCTTGACCCGAGCCAACCTCAAGTGAATGCGTATCCCCGGTCTCTGTTTTGAGATTTCAGACTCAAATATGATTCAAGTACAGTCATGTTAGGGTGTTTGGGGGCATGCGTGGGATGGAACACGTGCCAAATATGCCAGTCTCTTACCCACCAGTCACTAGAACATGACCAAGTTTGGAATTTTGATCGGTATTGGTTCTGGTACAATCAATTGGATTGCTGGCACATTCCTGTGGGGAGCAAGCCCTGTTGGCGCAGTCATGACTTGGAAAGAATCTAGCTGGTGGCAAAACGCCTCAATAAATTTCCCTTAGCTTTGGAACCAGACTCTGGATGTGTGTGTGATAACATGCACCATTCATGACGTGCATCTCGTGAGATTTGGAGGTCGCACATGGCAGGAACGCCAAGAAAAAGTATTTTCAATAGTATTCCCGGGCTGCCATGCAGTTCTGCCAACAAAAATTGGATTCCAGTTTCCGATTGCTCTGGGTACAAGGAGTGTGTGAGTTAATTCCCAATCCCCCACGCAGGTGATCAAGATTTTGCTGATGCAGAGACATCTGCTATCCTAGAGAATGCTATAGATGACGTTTCCAGTGGAGTGTCTTGGCTGACGAGTGACATCCCATGAGCCACATGCATGGTTTCCCTGAAGGACTTTATGACATGCCCCTCATCATGGATAAACCTGTCAATTTCCAGCCACCGGCCCAACTTCCAGCAGCTGGCTGAGGCTTCCAGCGTTGGAAAGGCCATGAAAGCGCTACGAGCTCATGCCAGAGTTCCTTGCAGTTGACGGTGGGCAGAAGGATGCCCAAAATGGTGGGGAATGCTGTGACAATTCTGGGAAATAAAAATTATATCCCACCAGGTGATCTTTAACTATAATATATTTATCGGATTTGATTATGCAATATTTTTTTAAGCATATATGTTAAACAAAAAAGTTGATAAGAAACTGAAATGTGACTTCAGGATGAGCTGGTAAACACCCTAATCGACTTAGATGATTGAAATTTATCATTGGTGCTCTTGATTGATCGAAACATTTTTGGTTGGCATTCAGGTAGGGTATAGAAATCGATAATCTGGTATTTGGTACCCTCTAACTTTTGACGAAAACATTAAAAACAAAACCCACAAGTCATGGACTGCGAATCATAGATTTTACATTTGCATGCATGATTCAAAAACATCAAATTCCGATTTCTTTTGGAAAGAGGTTGGGCGCCCATGCCCCCATGGGATATGACCTGGAATCTAATACCGCAAAATCAACCATTCTGATCGATCCTAGTTCATCCGATCGTGCAATTACAAGCTTATTATAATGTATATTGTATAACATGGGAGTTATCAATTGATAGTCGAGCGATACGATGCGTTCCCATGGTTCTAAACCTTTTGAAAGGCTTCGATTTCCCTTTCCAGCAAACATGCCTGGAATGCGTGGCTTAGGCATGCTGACACATCTTCAAAGCAATCCACCAAAAACATCATTTGATAGGAGAGTGATTCACATCCTGGTACCAATTGAAGTTTGCATACCGGTGTTTGTTGATTTTACACGAACACATTGAAATTTGTTGATATTAAAACCAACTTGAGTTCCATTAAAGCAAGGCTGGCCTTAGCTGGCAACACCTGAGGCACAGGGCTAGTACATGTTTAGTTCAAGATTTGCATATGTTGCATTTTTTGCAAGTGAATTTGTGAGTTTTTTGAATACGGTTTCAAAAATGATGCGTGCTGTTGTTGTGGCTGCAGGGGTTGCTGTGGTTGCTATAGCTGGTGAGTTTGTTGTTGCCATCGCTATTGCTGTTGTTGATGGTATTGTTGCAACTTTTTGCTGTGGCCGCCTTTGTTCTTGTATTGTTGTCTTATTGTGTTTGTCTTTGTTATTGTTTTTGTTCTTGTTGTGGTTGGTGCTGTTGCTGTTGCTGTTGTTGCTGCTGTTGCTGCTGTTGCTGCTGCTGTTGTTGTTGCTGTGTCTGTTGCTGTTGGCATTCTGGTTGCTTTTGGTGGTGGGTGTGGCTCTGATATGTTCTGGTGTTAGCTTGTATGTTAGTTTGTTTTCAGGCCCCTTAGCTGGAAATAGTTTTGACATGTTGATTTCCTTCCCATGCACGCAGTCCCAAGCTAAGAACGTTCAGATTCTTCAGTCCATTTCAAGTAATGTTGTGTTTTTTTGAAATGCAATCTGCTCTGGTAGGGTCATATGACATTTTGCAATTCTTTCTAGTTTTTTTACCTTTGAACTCTGGTGGATGGAATATCCTTGTGTTACAAATGTTCAATCGGATCATAGTTTCAATTCATTTACGTTCACAGGTCGTAGATGGAGTGTGATTTTGTTTGTTCAATTTGGCTATTGGATTCCTACACCTGAGTTGTTCCAAGTTCTTGCTGCCCAGGACACTGGAAACCGAGTTATGCATCCAGTCTCGCGGAGGCTTGGCAAACTATCGGGCAAGAACAACTCTCGGGATTGGTGGCGTGTCTTAGGAGATGGTCCAGACTCTTGGATGACGGATATCCTTACTGGTGGCTTGCAGGGGATTCTTTTTTTGTGTGCTACATCTTGCATGCTAGGCCCTACATTGTAAAGATACACTGACATTCTAGTAGGCTTTTGCAATGCTTCAAGCTCCAGTGTTACTTGGGTTTTCATTGATATATATAATATTGACAAATGTCCTTTCAAACTGTGTTGGTTTCGTTTAATTACGTGTGGCTGCCTGGAACACAAGGAAATACAAACAATCCGAGTTCCTGTGAAATTCAAAGACTTGAGCGACGGTGAATTCAAGCACCGACTGGAAGACAGACCAATATTGGACCCACACTTAGTAATAGAATACCTATTCAACAAAGCAAAAGTGGCGATTCCTCGTGAGGAGGTTCGAAGGTACTGGAACCACCATTCCCACTTTGGGGAGAAGTGGGCGCAGAGTTGCGACAACTTTGATCGCATTCCTTTGGGGATATTTGGTGACAACGCACGTGTTACCACGCAATATGGCAAAGTTGTGCAGCTAATCGGGATCTTTATGAACCTGGTGCTATGGCGTCCAGGCTCAGTCCGCCTGTCGAGGTTCTTACTTTTCTCCATAGGAGATCATGAACTTTGGGGCTACCATACATTGCAAACTGTTTATAGGAGACTTACATGGAGCCTGAATGCCCTTTGGGAAGGACGACACCCTGAGGCAGGAGCTTGGGGAGACCCTTTAGGGCCAAACCTTCAAAAAAAAGCTGGCAAATGGATAACTCATGACGCGTTACTCTTCGCCACAACAGAAGTCAGGGGTGACTGGAGCTGGTTGAAGAAAATATTTCGTTTTGAAAGGACATCGTGGACAGGAATCCAGGTATGCCACCATTGTCGAGCTCTTTCAAGTGGTGAGTGGAAGGACCTGTACTGGAATCTGGAACCTTCCAGTAATTGGTATGATAACATGTTTGACTTGGATGATTGGTGTGAAGAACGCCTGCCTGCTCAGGGAATTTGCAACTTTGTCAAGAAGGTTGATCTAGAGTTTTGTTTTCAGAAAATTGATTTGAAATATGTTGTATCTGTATCCTCAAACTCGTTCATCCAGTTTTATGAGCACATGTTACTGGTAGTTTTGATTTCGCGTTTGATCGACATTTAAGGTCCGCTCATTTCCTTGCGCAACTTCCATCCAACTGTCATACGGTGGTGTTTAATGCATGTGTTTCACCTCGGGCTCCTCTATGATGCCAATGGATCGAGTCTGATGCTTGACCAATTTTGAACCAAAAAACGTATATGGTAAAGAAACAGGAAAAAACGCAATGCATATAACCTTGTATACTTTCTGTGATGGTGGGGTGTGTTGACTGAATTTGCTAAGTCAAGAGAGGTATGACTTCTGAAGGGACCTGCTAGCAAAATTGTTGTTTTTTGTCAGTCCCGTGGCTCCTGCCATCTAAGGAATTTACTGCTGTCCTGTGGGTTTTGGGGCGGCCCTGCTGAATACTCCAGGAGTTTGCTGCTGGCACGTGCTTATCAGGATTTCAAACAATGGTGCAGGGTTAACCGCATACAGTGCTCACAACCAGAGTTCAAAGAATCCATGGTTTCTAGACTCAGAAATTTATTCTTATCTTTCTTTGCTTTGTGAGTGGACATGCTTTGTGGTGATTGATTTGTCTAATGGCACCACACCACATTGGTATTTTTCACTGGGTGCATTTTGTGGTGTATTGTTTGCCCGTAGCAAATTGATAGGTATCTAAGGTATCTACATGATAGTTGGTTTTGTTCCCGTCTGCATGCCCGACCGAGATCTACAAGAAAAACGGTGATGTGCTCTTGACCTTGAAGGCATTCAATGGCCGGTGTGTCATGGAGTGGCTCTCTGAAAGAGTGTACGAAGCACACCAGAACCCTCAGTACTCCGCATTTGACCCTGCAAGATTTTGCGTCATTGCTGGAACCATGATTCTCTCCAGCATTGTTTTTGGAAACGCAGATTAGGGCAAGTTTGTTTTGCATCCCTTGGCAACATACTAGAATTGATAACGTTCTGCATATTTAAATTTTGTAGCCACCGTGAGGGTTTGGTATGTAAAGGTAAATGCGACCAACAGCAGGCAAAGAAAAGCATAGTTTGTTTGGACAGAGTTGAATTTATAAAGTATAGCATGTGGAGAAAAGCATGGTCGCTCCATGAGGCAATGGCCGCAACACATGTGTGTTATATTTTCTATTTGTGCAGTCACAAAATTCCATTAGTGGGCAAGCACATGCACACGCGCATTTTAGATTTTGAACTGCCCCGTTAACAAACTACAAAGTGTGACTTCCCCACTGCTCAGGAAATATGCTGCGAGATTTATTGGGCAGTTGGAAAAGCACGGTCGATATTTGAAACTTGGGAGCATACTGCATGACATAGATTTGATAATTATTGTCGTGGTGGTAAACAGACTTAATCTTGATGAATAACTAGTGGAAAAAAAATAGCTGAATTTGAATTGGAACGGTTTTCGTTTTTGGGGCGTAACATCTCAGGACAGAAGCCGAAGCCGAGTCCATTTATTCTGATGGGAAAACATTCCTGGACCTGTACAAGAGCAACTCCCAAATGTCAATCAGGCTTGGTAGTTTACTGAACCTTGTTCTTGATGGAGTATCATACCAAGTGATGAGTTGGTGTTTTATCGCTTCATCCTCCACTACCAGGAACAATCTACAGGAATGGATCATGCGTCCAAAGTATCACGAGACTTGTTGTGAATATAAGAACCTGTCAGCTCTGAGTTGTTTGGCGCATTTTTTTCAGATGACTGAACTTGCTATAAAACTGGACTGCGTTAATCTTGGCTTTGTTGTACATTTACTCAAATTCAGCCAAGGGATTATTTCATTTGCTTCGCTTTATGCGCACACGGCGCGCCTAGGCTGCAACCACGTGTGCCCATGCATGCATGAGTATTCAAACTATGAAAGGTCCACTATGAAAACTATGAAAGACCCACCACGAAAGCTAGCTGAAATAATATTAGCCCCAAAATACTAGTCACCCTGCATCTCTTGACACCTTCCAGATCTAGCCCAGGCGTCAACTGCCGTTTCCATCACGGCTTTGTTGATGAAGATGCCATGTCGTGGCTGAAGAGCTGCTTGGCATCATGTGCATGTATGTTGATTGACCTGGTATATTATGCTGGCTTGCTATCTAGCAACTGTTTTTTTTAATATAAGGTATGATACAACTAGTCCCTAGCAGTCCAATCACATGGAAAACATTGGTCGTTACCACGTGTCCGCCTCAGGAACTTATTTGAAAGCTCATCCCTCTCATCGATCTTCTTGGATCTTGAGATGCAGCAAACTAAGGCGTGGTTTGAACATATATGGGGTATGTCCAGTTGGAATGATATGGTTTCATTTGTTCTTTCCAAGTTTGCACCATCCACTCGCATTCAGCACAGCTGCATTTGATGCCAATATCTCCAGGATTATGTCTACCCACTTGAAGATCAAAAGGTTTCTTGACTTTGCACATCAGCCTTCAAACTCTTCTGGTAAATTGCATTGAAATGGTCATGTGGTGTCCAGAGCTAGCACTTATGTTTTATATATCTTGGATCTTATGCATATGTCTGAGCAGCCCAGGTTCAATTCAACGGCCAGGCGCAGGTTGAGGATCAACCGAGCGTGAACTGGAAAAAAAAAGCAGATTGCGCCCAATGGTGTGCATGAATGCTTGCTACAACAAAACGTCTATATGGGCATACAGCTCAAACCCCTCAAACACCCCAGTTGACAAACGGGGTTATGGTAACGACCATTGTTTTCCAAGTGGTTGGACTGCTAGGGTATATATAATAAAACATATATATATATATACAATAATAATATAATAATAATACTAATAATGATAATCACAATAATATATAATGATATAATATAATAATACATATATATATATGTATATAATAATAAATATATAATATATAATATATAATAATAATAATATATATATAATAATAGTAATATATATATATAATAATAATATAATAATATATATGTATATATAATAATAATGATAATAATATATATATATACATGATATATGAGAATAATAGTTTTTAATAATATATATAATATAATGTATATATATATATGTTATATATTATAATATATATACATAATATATAATATAATAATATACAACATATATATATAAATATTAAAACCACACACAAGTTCCTATACCGATTGATGCCAGCATTTTGCCAGGGTGCGGAGGTTCTTCAATCCGCAAAGCTCTACGGAAGTTTGAAAGCAGCTTTGACTGGAACAGGCAGACGCTGAATTGGCAGGTTTTTGGTCTAGTCCTTTTGGTGGAGACGAAACAACTAGTGCACATCTGAAGACATTATGATAAACCATCTTGTAAAGGACTTGACCAGTGACTAGGTTGTTTTTCTTGACATTGGAGAATTGCAGTCTGCTCTATTGAAGACATTTAACGAACCGAAAAACCCACGAGCCATGAACGCTTCAGGACAATCCGTAGCCTTCTCTGGTCGCCAGGGTCGAAATTTCCGTTGCATCCTTACTTTCTGAAGCCGAGTAGCCAGATTTGGAACATGGCCACGAGATGTCTGAGATTTTGACAGACACCAAACAGCAGAAAACATGGACCAACATGATTCAAGATGAATTCAAGACGGCAAAAGGTCCCCAGTTTTTGCAGTAGAACCCATTTGCTGCAACACTTGCTCACCTTGAATATCATTTGAAAGACGTCAAGGTCAACCCACAGCAGGCCTGAAGTCCTTCGCGAGACAAATGGCTGAGAAGCATCAGGCTCACAACCTACACGGAACTGGCGCTGGTGGTAGGTATACTTTGAGTGATATGCTGTTTGTGCCTAATAGGACCAATTTGGACCAACTAGAGTTGTTGCAAACCAACTAGACTTTGCAGGTGGATGCACAAGGAGCCGTTTCCCATCGCCAACAGTTGATCTCAAGCAATTGGTTTGCGCAAGCATTGTGGGCAGGAGCTGCAGAAGCGAAAACTGCATTGGTGTTTGGCTCGGAGGACATCGTCTGCCTTGCAACCTCGCAGTCTATCTTTCAGACCTTTGCAAGTTGCACCAGAAATATCAGAATTTTATAGAGGACGTGGGTCTGTCAACGGAAGCGGTCCTTATGTGCACTGACGTTTGAGCCTTGGAGAGCCGCAGAAATCAGTCGTTCTTGGCCAATGATTTTTTGGTTCGGCATCCAAGGTGTGCCGCTTGCAAACTGGTGACTGTCCATCTCTAAACCTCTCCCACGCTGTTGTCCGATGCTTTGTTTTACGTTGTTTTGCATCATTCCAATCATCCAATCATTCGCATCCCTTCCTCTTATTTGTTCACGAAGAATCTGGGCAGACCCAGACCCAGGTAGTGGTGCTGTCACGCATCTTTGAAGATGTCTTGGAGAAGGCCTTGCGAGACCACATGAATTCTTCGATGATATGGAATTGATGTAGCAACCTTTATTTCATTCGCAAGATGGCGCAGGCGTTCGATGGAAGGGGAGGCGCAGTGGATCCTATGGTGCCTTGACAGACTTCTTTTGACATCATGTATCTATATGTTTCCTTGAGATATTAGACTCAAAAGTGCTGTTTCACTCACTCTAATAGTCAAAACACCAAACACTGGATCTACATGATCTACATTGAACATCAACGGACCCTCAAATGCATCAAAATAGATCATTAAAGCATGAAGCAAGCTTTTTCTCGTGCTGTGGGCTTGCTCCAGCAATCCCAAGGCCAGTCCCTCGCGGGACAAGGCTGGAATCAATCTGATTTGCACATGACATTGACATATTATGCTGACTTATCTAGAGGGGGTTTAATGGGATTGAACTTTGTGGCACCGTCATATCAAGATAGGTGCAGTTAACATGTTACAACATGTTACAACCCAGTTGCTGTCATCATCACCGCAATTCCAAGATCATCCATGGAAGGCTGCTGTGGCTTCTGCTTGGACTGCCGATTGGTCTGAGCTTTGTCGACAAAGACTTGAGGCAGGTGACCATGGTGGACAATTTTTTTCCCACCGGGTTGGTATCTTGGGAGCCGATGACACTTGAGTCCAGGTGCAGGGCTATCCAACCCAGGCCGCGTGAAATTTGACCGTGAGCAACACTGGAATGCCATAATGCCATGTCTCGGAATGTCTCGGATTCCACTTGCTTTCTGAAAGCCCAGCGAGAATCAGTCTGAATGGACAGCATCTCAAACAGTCAGGATGATGTGAGGATGTTGTGGGAAATAAATCTTTGATATTTCCAGATGTTCAATAAGTGGGCCACATTCGATTGCTGAGGCCGAACTGTGGCATGGGCGAGGTCGAAGGCCGGCTGGTCGAAAATCATCTGGACCTGGACATGAAGTCCCGACTTGTCAGTGTGCAGGAAGTGCCTCTTCGCCTACAAGTTGTTTCGAGTGGTTGCAGATTGTGCGTGCTCCTCAATGGTAGATCCAATAGATTGATGTCTTGGGTGATGCAGACATAGACTCTGACATAGACACGATGCGACTTTGATTTTATAGCGATACAAATAAAGAAATGTGTACCAGTATAGTCAAAATGGCTCCATTCTGGTGATCTCTCCAGGTGCGATGTTTGCAGCGCGTGAACCCCACAGAGTCGGAGGTGTGGTTGGAGTGACGAGATAACTCTGGTGTACACATACACAGAGGTGGTTGAAATATGTTGAAAGGACAGAAAGAAAAGGGCACCATGGCATTGATGATATGCAAGCTCTCAGCTGTAAGATTTCACAGATGTTACAGGAAATATGGCTGTTGCAGGTGCTATCCTGGAGCAAGTTGGTGCAAGCACTCTCAAGCCAGGCTACCAAACTGATATAGAATCTGCTTGTTTCCCAATTCCATGTGGTACCGGGTCGTCCTAAATCACAGTGGGTCAACACCTGTTGCTATGTTGCGCCTAT